TAAAAAATTAATTGAAGCTCGCAGCACGTTATGCTACAAAAACAACATATTTATTTATAAGCCAAAAATTTTGGTTTTTGTTTTGTCTCTTAAAGCAGTATCACTACTCGTTGTTGCTCCTGAATTCAGTTGCTTAGAATTTATACACCTGAGAGTATCAATAATTTGTATAATTGCAACAATTGCAACAACCATCAATTATATATTTATTGAAAATGCGCTAAAACTGTTACCGTTTAACAAAAGAAAAACAACAACATTTATAAGGTACAAAAGAAAACTGTAAACAGCAACATGGAGAGCAAAGAAAATTGTCTTCTTATTTATGTGTACCTATCAAAATATTTATAATACGTAAGATATACACAACCATATGTCATAAAACAAACCATTTATATACATACAGTGCTGGTCAAATTTGTTTAGCACTGATTGTGAAGGATAGTTTAATAGATCAATCAAAAAAAAGCTTATAGTCTACCTATAGTCTAATTGGTGAGAAAGTTTAAGATTTAAAAAGATCATTTTTTTCTTTGATATATTTCTGAAGATGGACGCCAATAGCCGGACAATAACAGTGACGTTTTTTAGCATTTCAGTATGTTTAAAATGAGATTAATAATTATTACAGTAATAATAATAATAATAATAATAATAATAATAATAAGTAGTAATAATAATAATAATAATAATAATAATTATTATTATTATTAATAATAACAGTAATATCAGAATTGAAAACAGTAAACAGTCCATAAGTTGTTTATCATTTTTCTTCAAATTTTTCAACAAACTGACTCTATTATCAGCAAAACTATTTTTGTTTCATGACAATTTTTTGCTGTCTTCTTTTGTTGTCGTTGTTGTTTTTATCACCTTAAAGTTAATTATAAGTTAAAACTTTTTAATTGTAAAAAAATTGTAGCACGATTAATTTCAGCTATTTCCCGTATGTCATCATATAGATCATAAACAGTTGCTTAAAATGGTTATACATCGTAGAACTGCTTACAAATGACTTGATCATAATGTATTCCTAGCGCAGTAACTGTCCTATAGACCAGAAATAATGCTTAGCAGTGCTAATAAAAATTGAAAATTAATTGAAAAATTTACAATAAACTACTTATACTTTGTATAAAATTAAATTTTAGTCAAATTTCTGTTATGAATTATATATAGTAGGCAACCAAAATATATATTCAACTTGATTTTAATAGATAAAAGATTGACAAATTGATCAATTAGAACATCCCAGATTTTCGGTGTAAACAAATATAAAATTAAAGTATTTACAGTCGTCTGTTAAACTACTCTTTAAAATTTATTCATAACAAAAAATTTTTCAATTTTTTTTGATCAAATGATTTTCAGCAAGTTTCCCTGTTATTATATGACTACTGTTGTAATTTACGGCCAAGCTAAAACCAATCTTTCAAATAAAAAACATTTAGAATTTTTTGAAATTTTGCTAGGCTCTTTCCTTGTTAAACAGGCCACCCACAGAAAAAGTTTTTTAGTTTAAGACAACAGAAATTTGAACTTATCTACAGTACAAATTTGAGATACTTGCAGTAGGACGTGAGTAAAAACATTCAAGCAAGTGGTACTCTAAATTTTCTAAAATAACGTGATTAATCCGTAACAAAAGGTTGCCGAAGCTTGCTACAATTTTACGTGCTAAAACTTGCACAGTAAATGATTTAAGATAAGCCAGATAATAGCTGTTGAGCTTATTGACCACTAGAACTAATCACCTCGACAAGCAGAAAGACCTGTGTTATAAATCTATTACAAATCCAATACGAAGGGTAGTCTTACACATTTTTAGCAACAAAAATCTGTATTTCTTCCATTTTGTTGCATTTTGGTTGCCTATTTTAGTCAAGTCTACAAACAAACTCTGGTCCTATATTAACCTTCAAGTTCTCTACCGCAAGCCGAGCAATTAAATTTGAGTCCACAACTGCAAGTTTTGTACCTTCAAAATTACAGTACTTTTTCCCGTGAAAAGCGCTATAAAACTGTACACTGCGGTAATTAATTCCTAATAGATCTGATAGAACAATTACCTGGCGATCTTTGTTACGTCAAAACAGAAGACGTGAACTCAAAAACAGAAGCCACTCTGGATTAAACTACTCAGAAAATTTGAGTTTTCCTTTCCTTTTTTATTGCGAATGAGGTTTTTCAATCGCAGTTCTGCAACTACCAACGCGGTTCCTTTTGAATTTTGAGACTTTTGGAAAATAATGACCAGCCAGAAGTTTTTTTTGCTTTTAAAATTTGCCTCAAAAAGCGAAAAATTAACACTTTTATATATAGCCAAAAAGCAGCTTTTTTTTTTTGTTATGAACTGCCTGTATTACTGCTCTCAAACGACAAATCTTCACAACGATAAGGACTGCATGATAACACGCTCTTCCTCCTGCACTCTCTCAGTTATTAGATATGTTATATGAGAACTCGACAAAAACGTGTGATTTTTAAATGCCAATCTTGTTGGGCACCATAGCATTGTCCTTTTCCGCGGTTAACGACGAAAAATCATGAAATGATTGGCGAATCATTGCTGGGGCCGCTGAGACATTAAATGCCGGAAACTGTCGATTCAGTGGCGTCATAGTTAAATAGCTGTTAACTGTTGGCGAAGTTGTTTTATAAGCTCATATAACGAAAACCAATTGAAAAAAACTTCAGCTTTAGAAAAGACTTCACTTTACGCAGGAAACAACGATAAGGTTCAAAAAGAACATTATTTTTACCAATATTCATGCTTGAATGATACTCCCACTCGCAATGCCGAGATATATCCACTGGCAAAATTAAAGAATGCTAAAGCTGGAAGGTTGCCAATAAACGCCCAGAGTTCATATTACTGTGATATGGTACAGCGTGCGATGTTTCCCAACCCTGTCCAAAGAGAATGATTGCCAGTGATTAGTAGGAAACGTGGTTCAAAAGTGGCAAATGTTTTGCTAGATAACTGTAAATTACACCGCTTACCACACGGAATGCAATCGTTTTCCAGAAAGCCATCACGAGTAAATTGCAAATGTAAGAAACATCTCCGTAGAATTTTTTACCACATACATTGCACTTATGGCCAAGTTTCTTTTTTCAACTGCAGTACTCGTAAAATGTAGTTGACTTTTTATTGGTTACTACCTAGGTGAAAAACCTAAATATGTATTATGTATGAGCTTTGTCGTACTCTGCTTACCAATTGAATGTAGTTTTCCCTTCTTAATCTTTCCAAAAAAATATGGCCTTTTAAATTTTGACCGTTGTTTTTTGATTACCCCGTTTTATTTTTGTGTCTTATTACGATAGTTACCTGTTGTGTATTTGTTGAATAAATTCTCTGTTCGACATTATTCTCTTTACAAACTTTTAAAATACAGTATCCCAACGAATGAACACCTTGAAGGTATGACCGCGCACTATAAGGGTATTATTTCTTATTCTTTGAACCTCACTGTAACACTAATACGGATTTATGAAAGATCGACAAAATCCCGGCTGCCTTCCGGCGACGTCGGTCAAGGGCTGATGGCCACGCATGAAAAAAGGGTTACCGGCTTCGAAACGGGCTATTTCCGCCGACCGTCTACAAGCAGCAAATTTTGGATATCAAGCTGTAAAGCACATGTGGAATGTCGCAGTGAAGTTCAGTAACATACTGGCGCATTTCCAGCCTTTGGCGTGACTCAAAGTCTAGTTCTTTATTAGCGGGAAATAAAGCAGAATATTAGAAATCGGTGAAATAGATGAGAAGGGATCGGTCCGGTTTCGGTTTCTATGTTATCTCAGCCCCAAATTTTATTTGTGTACACTAATTAGTCTGTTTCGCATGTTAAGAAATTAATCAATTATGAAACGTTGCTGTTATTGTCGTACTGATCTACCTGATGCCAAGTAAGGATAGCATTTCAGTAATTGTGGTTGTTTCATTGCACCATTGTGCCTTCAAGTGCATCTTTTCAAATCTTCTGTAAAGAAACATTTTTGACAAGTGAAGGGTCATATGAAAGCGGTACTTCTTTGTTGGTTTAAGCGGTTGTTTATATTACGGTTTCTCTGCTCAAGTTTAACAAGTTTTTTTGTGATAATTTGGCAAATAATCTTTGGTCAGAAAAACTTTTTTCAGAACAAATGACCTGCAATGTGCCAAATGCAAGAAGAATGAAGCCAAATATCAAAGAAAGGTGCCTTTTCATTTTTATTTTAAGGCTTTTCTCCAGTCGTTTTCTAGTTGATGATTGTGCATGATAAATTTCGTGGTGGTAAATATAATTTAGGGTCTTCCTATTGAATTTTTAAAATTTCTTACTATGGATATCTCAGAAGGACAAATATCTTTTGAAAGATGACAGGAAAAAATCATTTTTAAAATTTTTCTAGTGTAGTTTGAGTGCGGAATCACCAACAAAAAGTTCCTTTATTTTGTAGCCTTGTGCTTTTCTGCTCTGCTACCTTTTTCTTGGTGAAAAACCTCAAGTGTTTAAAAGTCTTCTGCAGCCGACCACCTGTAAATATTGCCAATTGCCTGCAGCATTCTTTGATAATAAGTGCGTTTGGTGCGCACATGCTGAAAGGAAACTCGGACCACCAGTTGTCTGTTCAGAATGTAGACTGAAAGCTGCCTTCGCTAAGCAACCACTACGGAAAGTTAGTGCAAGTCTTTTTCTTAAATAACTTTGTTTTCTACTACTTGGTCGTAAGATACTTTTAGGATAAGCCTCTGTTGTGCCGATTGTGCCGTAAGTCAAAAAGTAAATCGAAAGAAACAAGCCTTTCAGAGAAGTCGTCGGAAAGTGTGAAAGGCTCACCATTAAAAAGAAAAAACGATTTCACCGATGACCAGAAAACGAAAGCTTCAAAGGTATTTTCAGTCAATGTTATTTACAATTCCCGGGAAGTTGGAGTGTGGTTTTTGGTTAGGTGTATTATCCAGAAGAATTTTTAAGTTTTTTCTGCCTGTAATGCTCGCTTCTTTTTCTTTCCAATGTTTCCGCCATCAGGTTCTTGCAGGCCTCTGTATTAGACGAACAAGGATTTGAACAAATCCAGTCTGAACAATTTTTTGTTATTCAGCAGTACAAGGACCAGATTTTAGATTTGAAGAAAAAGTGCGGCGAGAAGGATAGGACGATACTTGAACGCGAAAAGAAGGTTAGTTTTTGGAAGGTTTTTTGAAATTAAACTTATAATACTAGTGAAGCATGACTGTTGACGAGTGATGACTTAGACGAGTCGAGCTAGTAAATTTGTTTTTTGCTGAGCTAATCCATTAGCAAAATTGAATGAACGCCATACCTGAAGGTGTGTGATAAAACTACATTCAGATCGCGATTTTAAATGCTGAAATTATTCGGATACAACGGGAAGAAAAGGAAAAAACACTTTTGTTGCAGAAACAGTATCAAAACACTGTCAGATCCCTTCAAGAGCAAAATCGCGATCTCAGTAGGCAGGTTAGATTCATTTCACCACTTTTTTTTGTGTAATGCCAGCAGTTTCGAGTGGATTTAATGTAGAATCAGATTAAAATTTTTTTTTGTTCTTCGTCTTCGTGTAATAATTTTTGATGCTTCAAGCTGCGACAGCTGCAAAGGAACGCCTGATGAAACGCACCTAAATTCTGAGATACTCGTCACTCCAACTGATTATTTGTCGTCTCGTCATATTTGCTTCGTAATGCTTTGTGCATGTTTACACGTACACCTGCAACATCAACTCGTATATTTTAACTAATGCCTGTTAATTTAACGTCTACCTCTTACTGCCGTTGTTAAAAAATACCAATTTTGTGGAGGCTTCGTTTGGCCTGGAAGCCCATTTAAATTAGTGTTTATGAGGACGTTGGCTGTTATTTTGTTTGGTTAACTTTTGAAAGTGGCAATAACATTTCTTGAGTAAAAATCCTTGCCACCAATTTATCAGTACTTTAATTTATTTTTGTTTAACCTAAGTACCATTAGAAGCACTTATCTTGATTGTGTTTATTTTGTTTTAAGTTGTCTAAAACTAGTTTCTGCTCGATTACTTTTCTGTCTTGGAGGGACTAGGTGTGGATCTTTAAGGTCTGAATTAACTGTAACGCACACTACCTATCTTCTCCAAGTAAAGAAGGCTCAACTCCCCTCGTAGTTGTGTTTATCATCTTATCTTTTATTTATTGTGCTTTGGAAAGAGGCACAATACAATTATTAGAAGTTTCTATTTCTTTTTGGGTGCTATATAAGTTTTGAGAATATACTGCGACAATATTTAGCGTACTTTTACCGGAATTTGCACAACTTCCAAACAAAGCATCTCTTTGAGCATTAGTATACACAATTACACAAATAAGACGGTTGATTAATGACTTTATGTTACAGCAATGTAAATTTCTTTGTGAATTTCCGGCGTGACAGGTAGAAATCCTCTGTGAAGCTATAAACGATCTAACTGTTAGGAGCCCGTTTTCCTTTGAAATGAAAAGTATACCGGGGAAACTGTAAAAGAAGAGATGGAAGAAAGTGCGGATTGAAGTGACACGTAGAAATACAAGGAATAAAGAGAAAGAAGGCTAGAGCAGGTCACTCTCGGTAAGCTCTTTCGCTGGAGGGAAGCTGGACGGCGCAAATGTGTCTAATCCGGCTCTTGCCTTCATACAAATGTTCGAGTAACCGAGAAGTTTTAAACAATTACTGAATGCGGTCTTGGGACGTGGTTTTCTGGAGGTGGTGCTTGAGTACCAGTGCACGAAGCTCGGAGGCTGTGCGGAGCTGTTAATATAAGTAATGCGCCTACTAAGTTCAAAAAAAGTGAAGCTGACTATCTTCAAAGGCTCATCCAAGACCTACGTCCAAAGACATCATAATTATAAATCCGACTATGGCACTGATGGACGCAATTTTCCCATTACCGTTCCTCTGTGCCTCAGGGATTATGTCGTCAACCACAACATAAATCATTGCTCCTGCAGCGAAGCTAAGAGCGTAGGGCAGAACTGGTTCCATAAGAATGACCGCTGCCGCTCCCAATAAAGCAGCTACAGGTTCTACCATGCCTTAAAAAGCACATATAGAAAAGCGGATAAAGAACCTTTCTGCGCAAAAAGGGAATATTGTTAGTTCGAAATGATGAGTTTGGAAAACGAACAGAGACAAGTCACTGAAATACTTTTTTTGTCGAAATTTCTAACGGTTCACTTATTAAGCTATGGTTGAACATTGGAGTAAAGGTGGAAGGATCTCCAAGTGCGCGTTGCAAGCAAAAAATGGAAACAAATTTACCTGAGAGCTGCCCATATAAAAAAGATTTCAACTTGGGATGACCGAAAGCAGCAAGTGGCAGCGACACTGCTAAGCCTTCCGGAAAGTTTTGTAACCCAATACCCAGCGCTAAATTAAAAGCCGACTCAAAAGTGGCTTTAGTTGCTTTACCAATTGATCCTAAAATGGTATGACTGTAATGTGGTGCATTCTTCTGTCTAACAGGACGTCTTTCTGAAGAATGGAAGCAATTATTGATAGCCGTCTTACTGTAGCGAATGAAAAACAATGAGATAACGTTGAACGACTAGCACTTACCAAAAGCAACACCAACAGCCAAACCCTCTGGTATGTTATGCACCGTTACGGCAATAATCAAAAGAAGAATCCGTCTCCAAGACAGTGCAGCTACAACAGCTCTTTCTTTTTCTGTAGCATGATTTCCTGAAGCTGTTAATGCCGCTGTGGTAGCTAAATCAGAAGATTCGCAACTAGTGACAGCGTCACTCACAACCCTTAAATATATTTGCTGAAATTAATTGAAAATAGAACTGCTTTTGGAAGAAAGTGAAAAGCAAAAAATGAATGGGTGCAGCAATCCGACAGCCAGCGACAACGCAAAAAAACCAAGTGCACCTATTTCTAATGACACGTCGGCGTACATTACTGCTTGAATGAGGAGGCGCATTCCCATACCTCACAGTTGGATCTTCCTCGTCGACTTCCAACACCGATTTCTCTTCACCTGCTTTTTCTTTTCCATCGCTTGTAGCAATGAACTGGATTTTAGTGGTTGATCTATCTTCAGCCAACAGTTCAACAACTGACATATCCGAGAAAACACATCTAAAAAAGTGCATTGAGGAATACCTTTGCCAATTTTAGAAGAAGAAAACAGTGTTATAAAAAACTGACGATGGCATGATTCGATCTGCAAGATGAACGAAGGCCGCACCAGACGCAAAACCAATTGATACCGGTATAAAGGCTAACGCATGTAAACTATGCTCAGATATTTCGATTGCCGGAGCTAACAGGCTCCAAAACGATGCTGCTGTCATAACGCCAGCAGCAAACCCCAAACTTACATCTGAAATAACTGCGATTTTTGCCCACCGTCTTGCTATCACCCAAGTAATAAACTATGGCCAGAATAATTTGAATCTGATGTCAAATGCACTCATAAATACACTGTTGCACCAATTAATCTATTAATTCTAATTGTCTTAGTTGAAACCTGGCCACAACAATTGTTGAAATTTTTTACAGTTAATAAAA